CTTTACCTCCATCCCCATTAAGTGCTCTCCCTCACTCAGGGTTCTCAAAGAGAAATTGCTCCTTCAGAAACTCAGGCCACCAAAAAGAGGTCTGTGATGTGGAATATTAACAGCTTTTCACTGTGTTCTCTGCTCCAAGTACTTGGTGAATTTGAAAAGGACTTCACAATCATACAGACTCAAGACTCAGCAGAGTTCAACTCATAGTCAACTCAAACAGAAGTATGCAATGAGAATGATTCAAGATGAAACATCTGTAGTAACTGATGTTGATCCCATCTCTAAGGGAGAGCAGCAGATTGGATAACCTATAGGTCACAGGAGGGAACAATCCCCGAAGCATAAAGCAGTGAGAGAAAGTTCCAAATAAAGCAGGCTTTCACTGAACCTTGGAGGACAGGGAAGACTTGTATAAACTGAGAGATGCTGGAAGAGACTCCAGGCATGAGCTAGGCCTTAGGAAGGGTTTTGAGATGGAAGCAGTAGATTTCAAGTGTTAGGGAGATAAGAATTGAAGCTGTTCTGTCCAATAGGGCAGATGTACTCAACAAAACCAAACAAATATTTAAAACATACAAAAACCAAGGCGGTCTCATTGAGTTCATTTTAGATGGACTGATATCCGAGTAAATGAGGTCACCCAAGAGAAACTGGCAAGTAGCCTCAGAAAACTGCAGACCAACCAGTGATGCTAAATTACAACAAAGTCAAAATACTAATTTTTTTTTTCTGGCCATCACAAAATTCAGTTAACGTATTTAAAATGAGGGACAGCAGCATCTCCTTTTTCTCTTTGATCTCATTTGCTGTTCCACCTAAAAGAGGGTGGAGGTCCAGGTCTGAATCTCTCAGGAAGGTTGCTTAGGGAAAAAAGTTCTAATAAAAAATAAATTATCCTGAAGAAGGAGGAGCCAAGCCCCATGAGAGAAGGAATACGGCTCTGGATCTGGAGGAAATAAGAGGCAAGGAGTAGAGGGACAGTGAACCAGGTGCTCACTTCCCTCCCCTCTCAACCCGCATGCCGTGCGACTGTCCTCCTACTTCCTCTGCCCCATTTCCAAGATGACTCTATCAGGTTCTTTTAACTCTTCACAACCAGGCATAATTATGCCTATTTTATAGATGGAAAATCTGAGCATCAGAGAAACCAGGTGCTTGGGAGTTCATCTGCAAAAAGCCGGTCAGGGCAGTTGATATCTTCTGGAAGAAAAGGTCTAAAAGGACCAGGTAGCCAGGTCATCAGCTTTAGGGATAGGAAGCCCCTCAAACACATCTCACGAATTCACAACTCAAACAAAAAGAAGCTGATGGTTTTGCAATTGCACCCACATGCCTCCCAACATACTGTCCTAAAGCTGGAGAAAACATCACATCTGTCACACACTCAACCAGGAAGACATCTTCTCAGTGACTGGGAACTTTGGGCAAAGCAGGGCCCAAGTGGCAGTGGTGTCTGTGTGTGGCTGGCTGCCCCTTAGCCTCCCAGGTCCTCCACAAACACTGAGTATTTTCCATGACTGTGTAGAAGACCAAGGCCCAGTCTTGCCTTCAGTCTGCTGCAGCTCTATCAGGGCCCTCGAAATCCTGTAAGAAATCATCTTTTCAGAAGTTATTCAGGTCCCTGGCATACTACTGCTTCCCTATGTGAGTCAGTTCCAACCCTCTAACTTTACACACAGCACAGACCTCTCCAGAGGAACTGAAGTCAGCTGACCAGGGAAGGTCATCCAGAGTTCTAGACATCTGGCAGTTTTGTGGGCTACAGTGTCCCAGGGAAGGGCAGCCACATCAGAGGAGACAGGCCCACTGGAACCTCATCCTGCACTGATGGCTGACCTCTGGCTCCCAATGACTCATTCCATGCCCAGATACCTGGTCAGGGCACAGTGACAACTGCACCTAGACCAGCCTCATAGTTACTACCAGTACCTTCACATGATGCCACCACCCAAGGACTTCAGACCTAGGGAGACAACCAGGTCCCACCCTCCTCCTCTCTACCCAAGTTCTTTTGCACTGAGTCATTAATGCATCCAGACAGGCACTTGGATCACACACCTGGCTCATCAATGTGCTAACTCTACCCTCATGGTTTCTATCCATGTTCTGCAGAGACATCCACAGTGAGACAGGCTGAGGGCAGAGGAATAAAGGGAAGGTGGGAAGACTCTGGACTCCATCAATGCTTCAACCAGAGCTACTGTTGCCCAGTTTATATAATAAAGCTCAGTATAATATTTTGTTTGTTGTTGTTGTTGTTTAAAAAGCATCTGATTGCTTTAAAAGGAGGTACTGAGTGGTAAAAACAATTAACATGCTTGGCTACTAACAAAAAGGCAAGGTCCACCCAGAGATGACTTACGAAAAATCGGCCATTGAAAGCCCTATGGGTCACAGTTCTACTCAACACATGTGGGACTACTGTGAGTGGAAGGCACCTCAGCAGCATCTGGTGGTTCTTCTCTAGCAGAGAAATGTCCTCCACTATCTCACAGGATCTACCTCTCAGTTTCAGCACCACAAACCCTTCACAAGTAGTATCACTGCGTCCTTCATCTCTAGCCTTCCCCAACAAACTACCACATGCACAGGGACAACCACCAAGGCCCTCCTACGGTCACTTTCTCCAACTTGAGTACTTCTTCTGAAGTCCTACGTTCTAAAGTGCCCATATGCCACTGGACAAACCCAGGCCCACTCCTCTGACCAAGTCATCAACTCTAAAAGGGATAGATAAGGAGAGAGAGTAGAAGAGGACCCCTTTCCACAACAGTAGGCTCTAGTTGATCCTGGTCACCAGCAGGCTTCCAACTGCCAAGCATGACCACTCACACACACCCTTGTTTTTTGTGGTGACCTTTTACCCCTAACTTTTCCTTTTGAGAATAGTCAAAGCCACAGAGAATACAAAGTAATATATGCTCATAGTACCAGTGTCACAAGTAAAATTCAATAAGCTCAAATATACAAACGATTCAACATTTCTACAATTGTCCCAAAATACCTTTTGCAGATATTTTTTTTTAAACCCAGCATCTAACCAAGGTTCACTCATTGCATGTGGCATTAGGTCTCTTTCAACACTTTCATTGACAACAAACTCATCTTTTCTTTTTTTAATGGCACTAAATTTATTGAGAAGTTTGGGCCAACTGTTTTGTAGAATGTCACACATTTTGGATTTTTCTCATTGTTTCCTTATAATGATATTCAGTTAAACAATGTGGCATGCAGCGATAATATCATATACTTCTTAATTGTTGCTGGTAAGTGCAATGGAGGCAGTTCCAACTCATAATGACACTAAGCACAACAGAACTACACACTAACTGGTCCTGCACCATCTTCACAATTGTTATGTCTGTGGCCACTGCTGCTGCCACTAAGTCAATCCACCTTGCTGGGGACTTCTTCTTTTTCACTGACCCTTCAGTTTTCCAAGCATGATGTTCTTCTCCAGGGACTGGTCCCGCCTGACAATACGTCCAAAGATCGAGAGACAAAGTCCATCATCCTTACTCCTAAGGAACATTCTGGTTGTACTTCTTGTAAAACAAATCTGTTTATTCTTCAGGCAGTCCATGGTACTCTCAATATTCTTTCTAACACTATAATTTAAATGAATCAATTCTTCAACGGTCTGCCTTACTCATTTTTAATTGTTTATCTTCAGAAGTTATATATTAATTAGGTTGTTCCAATATTGGCAACGTGAAGTTAGACCACCTTATTGGAGCTGTGCTCCATGAAGGAAAAAGGACACCTGTTTCATTTAGAATTAGTGCCATCTGTGGGGTGATATTTAAAAACAACTTGAATATTCTATTGTACAATAACATTTTATCAACTAGTTTTAGCATCCATGGATGAGACTACCTTCTGGCAGCCAAGTCGAGATTTTTCACATTTATTAGCTGGTGTTTTCTTTCTCTCTCACTATATACTTGTGAATTATTTTGTATTCACGGTTTCCTAACCCATTATCTCACTATGCCCTTTAATGCTCAAGCTGTCGCAAGTTTGGCCACAAAGAGCCTTTGCAAACTGCTTTCTGGGTCCTTTGATGTAACTCTGTTCATCTTCAAGTGCTACCTCGCTTCCTAGCAAGATGTCCCCAGCTCACCTTATATTATCCCTGTTCCATCCAGGATGAGCCACTTTACTGGATCCCTTTAGTGGGGCTCACCCTTACCTTTTATATAAGCAAGTTTCTTTCTCCAGCCAAAACTTCGCTTTCCTTCCTCTCTAATTCCTGTCCCTGTCATTCATCATTGCATTAGCACAGGTAGCTCTTTGTAGAGAGAAGAGTGTGAGAGGAAGGAATAGAGACAGAGATCGAGAGTAAAATTAGGGTTTTGATTATCAACCATTTACCAGCCTAGACCCCTTCTTCCATCTCTAGATCCTAATACCCGAATTATCAAATCATCATTGCTTATTTATACCTCTGTCTCACCTGAAAAATTATGAGTTCCTCTCTGATAAGGACAGGGTCATATCTGTCTCCATTTAGCACAGCCACTGGCAAAAATGTTCCCTGACCTCCTCTTCCCTCCCTGCCAGAGCCCGTTCCCCACAACACAGCTGCCTGCTTAAGCTCTTCTTATCCAGTCAGTCTCTTCTCTGCAGGAGCTGAGAAAAGCTCAGGCCCCCTAGGGAGCTCACAATGGGCCCTTTGACTCAACCAGACTGGGCTGTTCCTAGAAAAATGCACTCCCTGCCACAGCACCTGCCACTAAAGTCGGTGTCCCTATGTGCTTTGGAGCAACAGAGCCACAGTGTTCACTAAGAAAGGAGAGCAGGGGCGTGTGGCTGGCAGAGGCTGCTGGGAAGAGCAGCCCGACTCTGGGAAGATGTGAGAGGAGGTGGGCAGGTGGAAGGGCCTTTCACCAGCAGACCTGCTGACATTCAGACTCTGTGAATAGGAGTTGAAGGGGGTGTGGCTGAAAGAGAATACAGTGGTCAGAACCTGTCAGAGCTATACCTCAGAGACAGCTTACCTGTTCTTTTCTTTCAATTTTCTTTTCACTTTGCTCAAAAACTGGACTCTCAGGGGGTACGGTCAGCCGAAGTCTGCAGACATTGGCCTAGGAGGAACAGAGAGGAGAGACCATGTTATGAACTAGTGTTGGTGATAGAAAGCTGAGTTTAGTTTATGAACTGGATGACTTTGAGCAAGTCACCCAAATCCTCAGAACTTGTTTTCTCCACTTGTTATTGTTGTTAAATGCCACTGAGTCAGTTCTAACTCACAGTGACCCTGTATAGACTTTCTAAGAAGCGACTGGTAAATTTGAATTGCCGACCTTGTGGTTCAAACCAACCTTGCAGTCCAGTGCATTATCCCACAGCGCCACACCAGAACTCTACTGATGATAACTGAACCAATCACAAGGGAACTGTGAGGATGACCCCACCCAAGACACTCACCACCTTGTTATCCAAAACAAGGAAATGATTGGATGCATTCATATATTTTAAGCATATTTTTTTAATGGCTCGGGTTCCATAACTGTAGGTATAGAAATTGTCTCACTTCACATGGTCATGTCAAAATCCATTTATAGGGCTAGAGGCCAAAATACACACAGTGATTGTTAAAGGTCGGATTCTGTCCTCTAAAAAGCACCGTGAATGTGACACTGCTTAAAAATAGGATCTTTAAAAAATGTTGTTAGTGAACATGAAGTCATACCCCAGCAGGTTAAGCCCTAATCCAATATGACTTGTGTTCTTATAAAAAGAGGAGAAGACACACGGAGAGACACAGAGGGAAGGTGGCCACGTGAAGACAGACAGAGACTGGAGTGATGAATCCACATACAAGGAATTCCAGGTGCACCAAAAGCTAGGAAGAGAGAAGCAAGGACACTTGGGGGTGAGGGGGAGGATAGCCAGAAACATTACAACAGAGAACATGTAAGCCCGTCTTCAGCCTCTAACTGAATGGAATACCTTGAGGGGAGGTGGAAATTGCCCAGACCCAAAATGGGGGGTGGGGGCTCTAAAGGCAAGAAGTGACTGGCTTACAGGCTTTCAAGGAGTAGCCTAGTTCCAGATGGAGCAAGGGTAGGTAGAACCTCCACTGAATGATTTCCAGTCTGTTGGGACCAGGCTGATGAAAGGAAATGGTGACAAGACTCTAGTGGTACAACAGTGAATACCTGCCGTCAGGACTAACTGTGAGGGTCGGAAATGTAGAGGCAGATTTTTTTTTTTTTTGGCAAAAGGAGGATATTGATTGATTTTGTAGCCCAGGAGCCGAGGTCCCTGGGACCATCAAGCGAGAAGAGCGGAAAGTGTGACCCTACCCAGAGAGGCAGTGAAGCCAGGCATGGAAACAGAGATGTTGGTGTGGACAGATGGAGTGGCTGGGGACATGGGACTCAGAGAGGGAGAGGAGCTGTTTGCTTATAGACAGTGGGGCGGGCCTGTGGGGTGTATCCTTTGGTTATTTAATGATGCATGGAGGGGATTGTAATCATTGCAATGAAATGTAATACGATAGAATGAATGTGAAGCTGAAGTGGGACAGAGGCAAATAATGATATATGCACAACCTTGGAACAACAGGGCTATGGGATACAGAGATTGAGACATGGTTGGAATGGGGGAAACAATGTTAAGATGCTTGGCTGTCTTTTGAATCTTGGTTTCCCTGGCATACCACTATAAAACAGACACTGGAGGAGAAGAGAAAGGAATAGCCAGAAATATCACCATAGAAAGCTTGTAAGTCCATCTTCTGTCTATAACTGATTGGAATACCTAAAATGGGCTACAACGTGCCCAATGAAGGAGGCTTCCTGCAGAGTCTCTGTATTACACAAGACCATAGGTGGATTCCTGAACAGCATCCAGAATCTTCTAAGGAAGTATCTTCTGATAGTTCCACTTGAAAGAACAAGCAGAACAACCTGGAGTGGCCAGAAGAACAGAAGATACTTCCTGAAAGAAAGACTGACAGGAAAAATACAAAACAATATAGGCAAAACAATATATAAGAACAAACAAGTGGCTCGCCCAGGAGACATCAAGGCAAGTGGTCGGGTCCCCTCAGGGCAAACCTCCTTCAAAGGCTAGGACCAAATGGGAAAACATGCTCTGACTGGTGACAATGTTTGCCGCCGATAAAGGGAACTGAGGGAAGGGCAGCACTGGAACTGCGAGCTAAGCCCCACAACGTTCAATGGACTCCTGTGAACCCCGCTGGAGACCTGGCTGGCCAACAGTGTGGCAAGACGTGGGGACTCTTGGGCCCAGAGTCAGTGCCATAGCCACAGAGGATTAGAGTGGAGAGTGAAGCATCCAACTGATAAGAAGAGAGGGCATATGCATAAGTACACCCACACTTGCAGATAATACCCACCTGAGCTGGCTTCAATGGCTGGATGATCAGAGCTCAACCAGAAGAAGAAAGAATAGGAAAAAGGAATAATCTGATACAATTTGATGAACTTGACCTACACCTATGGAAGCAGTAGCTCAAAAAGAGGGAACAAATCTTCAAAGTGAGGATCACTCCCACCCCCTCCACACAAGGAGAAGACAAGGATGGGCAACTTGGACATTGGCTACCCAGAATGGAGGGTGGGGGTGGGGATGGTGGTTACAGAGGAAAGAAGTGACTGGCTTACAAGCTTTCAAGAGGGAACCTAGATCCAGAGGGTGTGGAGGAAGGTAGAATCTCCACTGAGTAGTATCCAATCTGTCTAGGTGAGGCCGAGGAAAGGAGATGTGGATAGGTTTCTTGTGGTACAATGGTGAATAATTGTTATCAGGACTGACTGTGAGGGATAGAAATGTAAAGGTACACGTTTTGTAACAAAGGGAGGGGAGGGACTAATTTTGCAGTCTAGGGGCAAGGTCTCTAGGACCATCAAGGGAGAAGAGCAGAGAACGGAACCTTACCAAGGGAAGCGGTGATGCCAGAGATGGAGGCAGAGACAACCAACGCGGAGAGATGGAGCAGCTGGAGACTTTTGAGAGGGAGAGGGACTGTGTGCTAATGACAGGGGTGGGGGGCAGGCTTGCGGGGTAAACCCGTGGTTGGTGGATGATGCATGAATGGGATTGTAACCATGGAAAGGAAACAATATAAGATGGGATCAATGTGAAGCTAATGTTCTCCCATGTAAACTATTACATAACTCAAAATAACGCATCCCACAGAAGAAGTAAAAGAGAGAGAGAGGCAAGGAAGGATCTGCCCATAGATCTTAGGAGATAGTTGACCTTGTGGACACCAGGGATTTGAATCCATGAACTGTCAGGCATACATTTCTGTTACATTAAGCCCCTACTCTGTGGTACTTGGTCAAGGCAGCCCTAGGAAACAATCAAAAAGTGACTCTGCCATACAAAAGCCTAGACAGGGTCCCAGTAGCACCCAGCATTCCCAGACCACAGTCCCGTGGCATGACTCAGAGGAATGCTGCGTACATCCCCCAGTGGGTTCGCAGGATCATGGGTCTATACTCGTCCACAAGGCAGCCTCTAAGTAAAACTACCTTGCAGCCTGGAAGCCCAAGGGTCAACAAATCGCAAAAGTCTTTAAGTCCAACCTGCCACGATGGATGGAACTCTACACCCAACAATGTACCCGGCAAGGAAGCAGCCAGCCTGAGGGTATCAGCTTCCATGAGCAGGTGGGATACAGTATGAGCACTTCCATGTACACTATCACCTCCCTCTGAGGCATGCCAGTGATGCTCAAGACTCTTCTGTTTGCCTGAGTCTAACCTGTGGCACCATTCTGCAGAGAACAGGTAGTATCTTTCTCCAGCACCATATCCCATAACCATACACACACATGTAAACACACATGCATACAGTCATATATAAGCAGTTGTGTATACAATGGGTTTTAAAAAGTTCAGGGAAAAATCCCATTTTCTTTTTATTCCATTTTTTCAGGAACTTTTTGAAGTCCGCTCGTGAATAGGTTCTATCACCTACTCACTATGTTATCACAATGGTCCCTTTGACTCAATGTTACTGGGCTGCTTCAGGAAAAATGAAGGTCGTTATCTGTTTTGAATCTCACTCTCTTCAACTATAATGGGGTTATACGAAGGTACTTAGACAGTGTCGGTTAGATATTATTATGTCTTATTATGTTAGACAATATTATGATTATTGACAGCCTTCTTCTTCTTGTTGTTATGTGCTGTGGAGTCAGTTCTGCCTCACAGTATGGGGTTTCTGAGGCTGTAAATCTTTCTGGGAGCAGAAAGCCTCATCTGTCACCCATGGAAAGGCTGGTGTGCTCGAACCACCGTCCACAAAGCTTCCCCCGCCTCCGCCTCCACCTCCACTCTCCATTATCATTCTAAATGCACTCATATGAAACAGATCTACTTGGCTTTAAGGCCCTTCTTTCCATGAGAAAAACAATTGGGTCAACAGCTCTGCTGGGCATTAACCCCATGTAGTTGGCTGGCTGCCCTAGACAGTTAATCCCCAATGGCAGAAATTCTCAGATCAAATCAAAAGACTAAAGAGGAGACAAGTCCTAGAGGGACACCATGAGTCCAGTACCCCTGAATGAGACACTCCAAGCCTGTTTCAACATGGTTTTAAAGTGTGTCTCTATGGTCGGTCCACAGCTTACTAAAGAATATTAACAACACTTCTTAATCTTTCTATCAAAGGACCTCCAATTATGGACATAAAGACTTACCACATTTTGACCCATTTTTCACCTGTCCCTTCCAAATGGTGATACTCCTAATTCTTACAGTGAAAGTGTATATATGCCACATTCTCACACTAAAACATGTGTACGCTGGAAGTACACAAAGTCTTTGTTGTTGTTGTTGTTAAGTGATGCCGACTCCATCCAACCTGCATAAGGCTTCCAAGGGGTGGCTGGTGGGTTTGAAATACCAACCTTGTGGTTCACAAGTCAGTGCTTATCCTACAGAGCCACAGTGAAACCCTAAAACACATCAATTGTACTTGGTGACAGATAATAATGAATTGAAATGAAATGAACTCTTTAAAAAAATTTTTAAAAAAAGACTTCAAAGAAGTGAAGTGCTTTAGACTACACCCCGGGACCCTTTGATAAACGTTTGTACTCATC